TTCTGTTTGAGAATTTGGCTTCTTGAGTATGCTCCTTTACTATTTTAATACACAAAATTAATACGAAAAACATCATAAAAAACAAATGTGCAAAAATAGAAAAGAAATAACACAGATTAACTACTTTCTTTGAGATTCGAGTATTCTAAAATATGAACAGTTTCGTCGTTATTCAATATTCTAAATGCATGTTTTTGAATAATATGTAGTGGATAACGAAGAATAAAACAATTCGATCTTAAACGTACGTATGTGTTGGGAATCGTTTTTGATTCATTGTTTATTTTACATTGAAGAATGTTGGATAACTGTTTATTTGCATCAGCAATTAATTCTTCTAATAAAATTAATATTCTTCTGTTGCTATGATTAGTAACAATAGCACATATAAATCCGATTTTAATTTGGTCTCCAAATATAAACGACACACAACAATCGGCGAATTTGTTTGATGTTGTCGCGGATATTGTTTTAAAATGTAAATGTTTTACGGCTAATTTATGATGAAAGATAAAAGTCTGCGTTGACATTATTTTCAACTGTTCTTGCTCTCTAATATAAAAATCAGCTGGTATTTCTTTGCTAACGCGTATGTCGTCTGACATTGTGGATTTACGATTAAGCATACGCTCATTTAACAATAATAATTTCAATGGATAATCAGGTCTGAGACTTTCAATTATTGCTTGACGGTAATATTGCATATGTGAAATTAATTGTTGTCCATAATGTGTTGCTCCATGCGTCATCGATTCTAAATCATGTCCAATGCCTAAGATAAACTGATGTAAATTTCAAGATTTTGAAACAACTTCCCAGGCATAAAAAAAATCTAGTATCGCCCGATTCATCTAGATTACTAGATTTTTACTCCATTGTAATTATTTGGTAACAACAGTGAAAATCGAGTCAGCGTGCGATTGCTAGATTTCTTCTCAGTTGCAACTATCGATTTTTCTATTGCTAGTTGTGCAGACGCTTCTAGTTAAAAGTCCCTTTTCCAACTAGTAATCTAGATGACAAGTAGTCGTGTATCGCCCGAATTCAGACGAAATGCACCTAGATTTTTCCCATAGGTGATGTTTGCTTGGGTTCCTATGAACAAATTTCTTCTGGAGAGTAATGTTTTTATTGGGGAAAAGTTTATCATCAAAGCACTACTTTTATTGAAAGTAAAAAGCAGAGTGTGAGAAGAAAAAAGTTCAAAATGTAAACCTCGAAATTAAATGTTGTGCACATGTATAATGGTCCAATAAATCCAACTGTTTCATGCAAATGTAACAAGGAATGAATATTCGATGACATATTTCTTAATCCAAATATCTCTTGCCATTGTTTAACAAATTGATTGGATAATGATTCGATTAATTGCAAATCATCATAACAAATGTTGTCTTTCGATGCAATATAATAGATAACAATAAAGCAAAATGTCGACGATATTTTGGTGTCATTGCATTTAAGAGTACGGTTGAACCCTGATGCATTAATGATCGATATTCATTTGCTTTATAACGTGCTATATGTTTCATTGACCGAAATCTTCGACTTGTTGTTGTTGGAATTTTAATCGATTTTAGTCCATATTCAATAGCATTTATCTTCTTGAATAATGACCAATTTTGGCAACGGTGCTCTTTTGCTTTCGAAAATAGTAACAAACACATTTGCTTGAAAATTCCCAAGTAAAGTGTATGCAACGTATCAAAAAGAAATGATTCACCATAGTTAAAGTATTTCAGCTGAGTTAATGGACATCGGCCTAAATCAAGAAGGAGAAGAGGTCATTCTGTTATAAATTATAAAACATGACATACCACGATGACCATATACTGGCATTTGATTATCTTCGATTTCGTCTACCAGTTTCTCACAAACATGTGAATTCCTTTGATCATATTTACCATATGGAAATACTTTAATATTAAAATGTTTACCATTTTTATTGGAACCAGAAAACACTTCTCCTGTAACAAAAAATAGCATCTAGGAAAAGATTAGTAATCGACAAATAAATACAGCTGTACACCTTGAATGAAGCATCTGGCACACCCGTAATTGGCATTGTATGCGACTGTATTCTGTAATAGTGATTGGGCTGGTTTGTCAGAACAAGCAGCAATTAAGAAGAATTTTAGTGTTTTTTCACCATGACCGGGTATGAAATAACTAATACCACTTTCTAACTGTTTACACTGTTTAGATACGATGTTTAGTATTGTTTCGAATGATTTGTTGCTTGGATGCTTTTTGGCCGGAATAACACCACCAAGCACAATTGATTCTGAATATCGACGTGTAGGTAATGGTATTTCATTTAACATAAACATAACCGGCCATAATGCCACGTGTTGATTCTTGGAAACGATCCCATCGGCATTGATTTTTGTCGTTGTAAACGATGTATCAGGTTCATCCATAAGTATATCACCATATGTTGTTACTCTTAACTTTTCTTCATTTTGTTCGCGTTGTTTTGTCATTTGATCATACATAGTTGGTATCAGTAAAATATGTTGTAACTGTTCAGCGAGTGAATAATAGTAAAATTCAAGAAGATTATCACGATCACATTCTTTACATAATTCTAATTTCATATCATGAATAAGATTTCCACACTGATTACATATTTGACATGATGACCATCCCGACCTTACATCTAGTTTTGTTATTGCCTTAATGGACTTCCACGAAACTGAGCTGTTTGGTACATTTAATGAGTTGATCATACTACAAAATATGTCCATATCCGCGTTGCTTTGACGACGTCTGATTTTATATATAATCGAAGCAGCAGCTATATCAATAGCGCTAGCTTGTAAACGTCTAACCGGTGGTTGTATTTCTAGTCAAATAAAACAAATAAAAAATAAAAATAACATTTCATCGAGTGACGTTTGAAAGTTACCTAAATCTTTTTTAAAATTCTCATTTAAAACCTCAGTTGATTCTTCGTTTATGTCTGTTAATAAACCTAAAATCACATATCTTTAATTAAAACTATTGTAAACAAAAGAATATACTACCGTTCACGTTGTACTGTGGATTAACTTGTGTTGTATGAGAGCGAGAAGAAGACAAAAGTTCGAACATTACAAGATCCTTAGCCTTGACTGCCACACGACGTCGATAATAAGTTCTTCGAGACGTCATCTCAAATGATAAAGATATAAAAAAACTGAATTGTACGTTTTAATATATGGTATAATTACAGAGAAATCGATTATTGCTTTTCAATTGCAGTGCCTATATTTATTTTCTTTCAATTGTTCAACCACAAATATAGGTCAATGTTAAACAAAAAGTAAGTTTACATACAATGGCAAAGAAACGATACATGATAATTACTTTTTCTCATTTTTTTCTATTCGAGTATATCTCTTTCATTAACGAAAAAAAAGGGTAACAAATAATCTTACACACACGCTAAGAAGATAAAAACACAAAAGAGAAAAAAGTTCTATTTTCTTCTATAAAACAAACAATAATGCAAAACTAATCTAGGGCTACCGTAACTAGACTAGTCTATGTTAGACAGTAGCAAAAACAACCTTTTTCTATCTAAAACACATTACTTTCACCATGTTCATTGTCTTCTTGTCGCTGATCTTCACCACCTTTTTGTTCTTCTTGTTTATCATCAATATTTGTTGCTTCAAACTGTTTTAACTGTTTTCTTTTTTTATCACTTTTCAAATGATGACACTTATTTGATATAGTTGTACTGAAAACACCTTGAGCAATGGTATCAGCTGGTCGTAACAGTTTAACATAATCTGCAAATATTAAAAATGCGTTCAATTTTTCATATAACATAAAAACAACAAATAACTTACTAAAAATATTATCGATCCGATCTTTATTTTTTTTACATAAAGTTGAATAATTTTCATTTTCTAATTCTACACCTTTGTGACATGCGACCAATAAATTTGTTGTTATCTTTTTCCAATCTGTTTTCATGTTGCCAACAGCTTTAAACAATTCTGCATCGGTTAAACCAAGTTTTTGACCAATCTGGAAAAAGTAGACGACAAGCTCAATAGTAGAAATAGAACCTTTTCTGTGAAAATCAATTATACTCACTTCAATAGCTTGCACATTCGCTACTTTTGCCCGAAAATCAACAATAGCTACTAAACGTCTCATATAATCAACTTCAGCGTCATTTGGAAATGCTAAAACAAAGGAAGACAGCATCTAAAGGATCCTCTTACTACAGTAGCGATTCCAATAGTTCATAAAGAAAGACTTACGAATTGAACAACGTTTTATTTCGACTAATTGTTCTTCCAGATCAATTATCCGTTTTCGATTACTTTCAAGTTCAAGCTGAATATATCTTGGCAAAATAATATCATCATTTGTACAAACTGAAGATGTTGTTGTTATTGGTTGATTTGGTGAACTCGAGCTTGTACTTGGACGTGAATTATCACAATGTGGAAGTTTTGTTTTTGTGCGCTGTTCCTGTGGTCGTGATCGTGTTCTGTTTTCAACATTTTCCAGTTCATCATTGTTTCCTACTTCAACATCATCGTCCTCGTTACCCGTGTCATTATTGTTATCGTCATCACTTTCATTTTGATTAATAGCACGTTTTGTTTTCTTTTTTGTACTACTAGCACCAGCCTGATAGGGTCCACGTTTAATGGCGCCCTTTTGTGTTGCTGTTGGTTTTGTTTTAGATTTAGCTGTTGTATTGGTTACATTGGTAAATACTTCTGGTTGATCGATCCATGTTGTATCATCTATTATGGCATTATCCTCGAGTTCACAATATGTTTTAACCTCTTGTAATGTACCTAACACAAAAAAAACAAGTTTTATTTTGCAGATGACTATGAAAAATTAAACTCTATACTTTCCTCACCTCGAAACAGAAGTTTGCCACGTTCTTTAATTGAACGATTTGTTTTATGTACAAATAGATAACTTTTGTTTAATGCAATTTTATCACCTTGAACTGATTGAATGCATGTTAATGGCACATAAGCTAAACTTGTCCCATCATCAGAATCGAAACTGACTACACAATACATATTATCTATGAAGAAGATAATTCGATTGGTGCTCAAGGCATTTTTCTCACTGCTCGTACTCACTATTTTTTTTGGGAGCCATGTTTGCACATAAAATAAAATAAAGTAAATAAGTAGAGTCTGAAGTAACAAAACAAGAGCAAGATGAAAACCGCAAGGCAATAAAAAGACTTCAGAAGTGGCCTTGAAAGTAGCAACGTAGTGATAAATAAATAACCGACTTACTCGCTCTTCCCTATGTTTCTCGCTCCTAACTGTGGTGTCTGAATTGATATTTTCTCTACTTCAATATTCTCTTTTTTTCTCACTTCTTTTACCATTGTTCAATGCGAACTTGATATTTCTCAGTACTTACTAAAGCGAACTTTACCTTGTAAGGCCTTGTCCAGACTACACTCTTTTCTCGCTTAAGTATTAACTTAAGTCATGTCGAGCACACGACTTAAGCTGGAATTAACTTTTTCATCCGATACGGTTACGAGTTTCTCACTAACTTTTGCAGTCTGGACAAGGCCCAATGTGATAACTGTCTCGATTTGTTCTCTATCGTCATCGAAATAAACAGTTTATATAATAAAAAAGATATATGGTCCGACAGGAGACAAGCGTCTGATTTGTTTCGAAACAAGCGATTCCAAAATTAGAGCGGGAGATGTCACTCTAAACTACAGCTATCCCGTTTTTGCTATAAATCATTTAGCTGAACTGGCTCTGCGGAATCAAAAATCCGTAGATGTCTCGGAATTTAACTTCCGAGAAGTTGTT